TTCGACAGCGCTGAGACTCGACTCACCTGCCGCCAGGTCGAGCACCGCTCAAGCCTCTTGCGCTCCTTGTCGGCGGCGGCGGCGCGGCCGCCGCCGGCCGCCCCGTCCTGGTCGTCGGAGGTGGTCGTGGACATGTTTGCTCCGGCCGGACACCGTCACGGCCCGTCACTGCGCCCCGTCAACGTCCCGTCACGCGCCCTCTCCTTGCCGTGACGCTCGCGCCCCTCTGCGCGCGACTGAACAGAAGCCGCCGGATGGCGCGCGCGCGGACCTCGAGGACGCCGCCGTCCGAGTGCGCTGCTCGTGGACCACTTGCTGCTGCTGCTGCTGCTGCTGCTGCTCCCGCTGCTGCTGCTGCTGCTGGTGTCGACGGTTCGGCGGGTTCGGCGTGATTAAAACATTTTTCTGGCGCCGAAGAGCGGTCACACGGATGGGGTAGAAGAGCGGGGTGGGCGGCCGCTGTCCCCCACCGGCGCGTGCACGACCGTTGTTGCGTCAGCTGACGCCTGACGCCGCGGTGGTACACACCCTCGCACCGCCCGCAGTGCTCCTCGTACCGTACGTCTCGCACAGACGCGGCCGCCCCCAACGCTGCTGCCGGTGTCGTCGAGAGCTTCCCGTTGCCGCCCCAACGCCGCGCGTCCGCGCCTCTCTCGCTGCTCAACAGAGGAGAGCGACGGTATAGCGAACCTGTTCCACCCGCGCGCCTTCTGCACGACACTCACAGCAAAACCATCGTCAAAAAGAGAGACGAGTCTGGAAAATTTTCCCGCGCGCGCGAGCTGTTCCTCCAACCCAGTTGAATAACTACCGACCAAGCGGGGACCAATGCCGCCCGACATCATTGGCGTCAAGGGCAAGGGCACGGGTGCTGGTGCTGGGCGGGGCCGGGCGGGGTGGGGGTGGGTGCTCTAAAACAGAGAGTGCGGCGTGGCGCTCTGCCAGACAAACAGAAGACTCGCGGTCATGTGTGGCGTGCTGCCCCCTCTACTGGGGGGCAGGGGGGGGGGGGAATGGGCTGTTCCGAGTGTGGACGGGTTAGAGTCGAGCCGAATTAAATCAAAGGCAACGTCAAAACAACGTTGAGGAAGTGACCCTTCGCACATTACAGAAAGCTGGGTGGGGCGCGTGGCGACCCTGCCACCTCGTGTTCTTTCCCTACCCTGCGTGCCCCAAGTGAAGTGAAGGCCCCCCCCCC